GACCGAAGTCGACGTTTGCCATGACAAAATGGACAAACGACATGGAATCGTCGGAAACGCATCAAATGGCGTCGACCCTCGCGATTCATATTCATCCAAGTCGCCAGCGACACCACCTGGTTGGATGCACTGTTGCAGCCAATTGTCCTTGTGCAACAGGCTGCCGCTCATCGCTTTGCTTCGCTGGGTGTGGCATGGACAACAGCAGGGCTTGGTGCATGCGTGGATGTCCAGCCATGCTTTGATGGCGTCCTAGTCATGTACGTGAAAATGGACGCCGCTCAACCTTCCAAGAATGACGCTGCTGCGACCACGACGCTGATGGCATGCACGAGGACTTTACTCGATGACGACGACTTGCATCGGTGACACGGTTTAAATAGCGATTCCTACGCACTTGACGACAAGAAGGAGGCGTATGAAGGAGCGTCATCAAGTCCGACAGCAACCAGACATGTTTGCTTCGACATGGGCAAGAGGGACTTAAAGCGCTGCAATTGCTGACATTTCCACCAAGACACGGTCATCGTAGAGGGCGGCTTCAACAGTGGCACGTGCGGGAGCAGCGCCTGCGGGCACCCAAGCGTCCCATTCAGCATTCATATCGGCGTAGTCCTTGCGAATGTCCTTGAGATAAATGGTCACGGAGAGGAGCTTGGACTTGTCTGTGCCCGCGTCAGCTAAAAACGTGTCGATGCTCGCCAACGTTTCCGCCGTTTGCGATCTCACGTCTCCATCTAAGTTGTCGGCGAGCTGTCCAGATAAATACACTGTGCGGTTGTGGACCACGACTTCGCTGAATCGCGGCGACTTGTGCAGCCTTTCGATGGGGAGTGCAGGGACGGGAGGTGCCGACGAAAAGGCAGCCGTCGCTGACGGCGCGTGCGGCAGCAACAACACATGGCGAAGGTGTTTACCTTGGGCAGCAGAGGTGCATCGTGGCCATAGCTTCATGCATTCCCGCAATCTCCCGGCGCGCATCAGCATCACCCTTCCCATCCACCAGATGATCTGCCGTGCCAAGCACAAGGGGAAATTTCCCACGTTTGCACGGGGAATTTGCCCTTCAGCGGACCATGGCAAAGCCGACTACTTATATCTTACTACGTAGTAAGTATTTTGCATCCTGGCATACACGGAGGTACAGTAGAATAAAATCAATTCTTTTTAATAGCATGACATAGTCCAACTTGATTGGCTATAATCAGGCATATATATATCAGTCGATCAAAGTTGTGGTAGTATCTGCTCTGCAATTGGTCAAAAGGAATGATATTTTCAGAGGTGGTATTGAAGTGGTAGAATTCTTTAAAATGGATCCTGTTTTTGACACGTGGTCGGCGTATTTTGGGGGTGATGGCTTTTTCCTGGGGGAGTATTTCTCAAGATCGTCCAACGAATGAAAATATTTCTCACGATCGGCCAATTTGTACGTTCGAGAGGTATTTTTTATATCCAACCGTCCACCGATGTATGATTGGCTTAAAGTCTCTTGTGCTAAATACCTTGGATGTGTAAGCCCCAGGGGGGTTTCGTCCTCACCATTCGAGAATTTCAGCGGCCCCCAGCATACACCGACCGCACCCGCCGTCCACGACGCCACACCAAGCGCGACAGCCACCGAGCGGTATGACCCAGCGACTTTCGATCGATACTCATGTACACCTGGTCCACCATGTCAGGCATGCCACGTCCTTCGGCTCATGAGACTTTTAGCCAATCATGCCGCGATGGACGTTTTGGAATAAAAATACCTCATGCACGTTCAACTTGGACGATCGTGAGAAATATTTTCATTCGTTGGCCGATCTTGAGAATTACCCTCTTTGGGTTCACTGTATTTGTTTCATTTGCGTGACTCGGGAGCATCACGTTGGGAATTTTCCTGCTTGAAGTAAGCCATGGGAAGTTGAAGACGATGGGGCACTTGTGCGATGCTGAGGGCAATTTCCAATCAAACGACAATGCTGACGAGGTCGCTTCGATGCCAGGCCCGCGCCATATCCACGGCCAAGCTCCCCACGACGCCGTCGCCACCTTTTCCTGACGAGTATCCCCATGCGCTGATGCGCACGGCGTCGCCTGGCCCGCGGTCGATCGCTTTGAGCAAAGAGCTCGCAACGATGCAACACACCGCCGCAGTGCACTTCTTCGTCGACTACAAAGCAAGCCGTGGCAACTACATCGTCGACGTCGATGGCAACCGCTACCTCGACGTGTTTTGCCAAATCGCGTCGTTGCCCATCGGGTACAATCACCCTGCCCTAGCGGCAGCGATGACCGATCCAGACAACTTGGCCATGCTGACTCAGCGCCCCTGTCTGGGGAACCTTCCGCCACTTGAGTGGCACGGCCTGCTCCAGTCCACGTTGGGCACAATCCAGCCACGAGGGTGTTCGGACTACGTCACCCTCATGTGCGGCTCGTGCGCCAACGAAAACGCCTTCAAGGCTGCCTTCATTTGGTACATGACCAAGCTCCGAGGTAGAATGAGTGACTCATCTTCCTTTCTCGCGACGGTCGTGCTTGACGGATATGACGCAGGTGGCTGTCCCCCCAGCGAACGCGACATGCAGTCCAGCATGGCTAACACGTGCCCTGGGTCCCCCGCGCTGTCGATTTTGTCGTTTCAAGGCGGGTTTCATGGCCGACTTCTCGGGTGTCTCTCCGCCACGCATTCGAAACCAATCCACAAAGTCGACATTCCCGCGTTCGACTGGCCCGTGGCCCCGTTTCCAAGGCGTCGGTACCCACTCGACGCTCATCAACGTGCAAATGACGACGACGAAGCACGATGCTTGAGCATCGTCGAGGACATCTTGACGGCCCACAACAAGGCGACCACCGAATCGACGCAGATCGCAGGCATCATCGTCGAGCCCATCCAAGCCGAAGGCGGCGACAACTATGCGAGTCCTGCCTTTTTCCGGGCGTTGCGTCAGGTACGACCACTCGATGTGTCGAGCTGCATGCGCGTTGTGGAGATGGCATCGTTTTGCGGTCGAAGTCTGCTCAGCTCAAGCGGCGCCCGAGGGCTGGATGTGGTTTTATGGTTGAGGGCTTGCATGAACTCGTCTGGAAATGCTTGAATCCCCATGCCACTTGCGCCAAGTCGGGCGACTGTTGTTGCCGTGTGCACGTCCTCTGTCGAGTTTCAGCCTCTCATGTAACTTGTCCAGCTCGCGTCCGACTACGGCGCGGCGTTCATCGTGGACGAAGTTCAGACGGGCGGCGGGAGCACGGGCAAGTTCTGGGCCCACGACCACTGGGACCTCGTGGACCCCCCCGACCTCGTGACGTTTTCCAAAAAGCTGCAGACGGGAGGGTACTTTGCCAAGCCCGAGTTTCGCCCGGCCGAAGGGTACCGCATCTTCAACACGTGGATGGGGGACCCGTTGAAAATGATCCAGCTGCAAGCATTTCTCAACACGATGCGCCAGGATAAGTTGCTCGCGACGGTGGAAATATCTGGCCGCGTGTTACTCAACGGGCTCCAGCGCCTGACGGAAGCATATCCAGGGCAACTCAGCAACGCGCGCGGGATTGGGACGTACGCAGCCGTGGACTTTGCCACGACGGCCGCGCGAGATGCCATGATCACCAAGCTGAGACAACGTGGGTTGGAGTGCGGCGGGTGCGGCGACCTGGCGCTGCGCTTTCGACCAGCTCTGATCTACCAACCGAAACATGCGGCGGAATGCCTCGAGATCCTCGATGATGCGTGTGCGTCTAGCAAGTAATAGCTGCATGAAAGGGTCGACAATGCTCGAGGAAAGGACGGGATCTCCTTAAAAGCGAACATTACTTGTTCTTCTCCACCAAATCTTGCAACGCCGCATAGTTGGCGCCGACGAGTTCACCGATCTTGACGGAGTCCTTGTACAGATGGAACGTTGGCATGGCGGAGATACCAAGCTCGCCGCTGCAATTGTCGCTCTCGTCGACATCGATTTCGAAGAAGACGACCGTTGGTTCCGCCTTGGCCAAATCGTGGACACGCGGCTTGATGGCTTGGCACGGGCCGCACCACGTGGCCGTGAAGTCAACTACGACCAACTTCCCTTGGTACTCGGGCTTGGCAATCTCGGCCTTGAAGTCCTTTGCGCTGTCGAAGGTGTGAACGCGAACTCCCGTCATGATGAGAACTGTTGGCAAGAATGGCGAATCCGCAATTTTTCTAATAATTTGAGTAGGACTTGATTGAACTCGCACTTTAGAGAATGTATTGTTCAAAGTACGCGAATCCATAGCGAAATCGTTTTCAATATTTTCGAAATCTGAATATTTACTGGGATGAAGAACCACAGGTATTGTGAATGCCTGTGTGCGTTTAATGCACTTCGTGTTTAACTCAGTACCTTTGGCCTCAGAAGAGGTAAACAGCATGCCCTGCGCAAGGTATGCATTCTCTGGACTCGCAAACTACTAATCTCTGGAGCACTGCGTTAAAAGTTGTTCGACTAGCTTGCTGGATGCGCCTGCGTGTAGTTCCCCAAATTGAGATATATGTTCAACGTGTCTTGTAGGTGCGTTGAATTCAAATGATTGGCTAGGAGAAGAACACGAACTATGATAGGTCGATTCCACCAGCCAGTCAGATGTTGAGAATTCTCGGCGGAGTTGGCACAATTGCAAAATGTTTCAACTGGCGCTGTTCCAGCCGCGAATTCCACCCAACTGTGGCAACATCATGCGCTTAGCAGCGAACAATGGGTGCATTCTACACCTCATTGAGCCGTTTGGCTTCAACCTGGACGAGAAGAGCGTGCGGCGAGCAGGACTAGACTACCGTGATATGGCAGTAGTCCGTCGCCATGCCAACTTCGAAGCGTTCCGCGAAGCCGTGTCGGGTAGTCGCATTCTCGCGTGCACAACCAAAGGCAGCCGACCATACACACAAGTCCAGTACCTTCCAGGCGACGTGCTTCTGTTCGGATCGGAAACCAGTGGACTTCCCGATGAAGTCCGCAACAACATCTCGGAAGACCTTCGCATTCGGATTCCCATGTTGCCGGATTCGAGAAGCCTCAATTTGGCCAATTCCGTTTCCATCATCAGCTACGAAGCTTGGCGTCAAAACGACTTCAAAGGTGGTGTCTAGTAGTATCGAGGCAAGTCGAGTTTCACCTAATATTGTACCATATGCGTAAAACGATGAGAGCATTGCTATAGCTTGGAAGTATCGGTTCATATCTCACAAGAATTGGACTGCACATTCAGTGAATGTGTAAACGTGAGCTTCCACTTTAATCCTCGTCACAGGTGCTACCTCGCTGCCTAGTGTTCACGCTGGCATTGACCGTACTGGAGCGCGATCGCGATGAGATGTACGTAGCTCAGGGCGGCGATCTGATGTGTGTAGTAGGAGACAGCAAGTGCAGGAGTCTCTCCATCGTCCAATTGCGCTTTGACACTATCATTTATCAATTCGTATGGACCATCCCGGCACCGTCGCCGTAACAACGCTCTAGGTTACGTGATAAGCTCTCACGCCGTCGTGCATAATCACATTTGCTACTTATCCACTCAGCCCACACATGGGAATAGTGTCCGCGGTTCAAGCTGTGGCAGTGAGCAAGTTCCCACGGCAGCACTCGCTAATGATCATCTCTGGGTTGGGCCATTGCGTCGTTCACGGTCGGTCGTGCTCTTGGCGGTACCGCGATTTTCATCGTCACTTGAGTTGAAAGTCTTATCCTCTCAAGTTCGCTCTCTCTTAGTTCGATGGTAGTATCCGGATACCTGTGCCATTTGTGGTGTGGGCCAAACGTATCCGGATATCACCCACCTGCCGCCTGCCGACGAGTTCAGAAATCCTCCAGCGGACAACCTGAACATGCAGCGCTCGACCATGCAGACCCTGGCCAAGGCCGTGAAGGCCCAAGCACCTTCGCAAGTCCGCCTCCTGTCCTACACCGAGCGTCAAGCCCGTCTCGGCCGCCCCGTGTCGCCGCACGTCGAAATCTACGCGTTTCCGATTACTGCGCTGTCGTCGATCACGAACCGTGTGACTGGTATTGCTATGTCGGGTGGGTTCGCTGCCGTCGGTGCGTTGTCCATTGTGGGTGCCGATGTCCCTGCGCTGCTCTACTCTGCGCAGGAAGTCATTCCGTTCTTCGCCCCTGTCTCCAAATTCGTCGTGGCATTCCCCATCTCGTACCATTTCCTGTGCGGCGCTCGCCAAGCGGTAGGCGCTCTTCATCTTCGCGCGAAAAATGGGCTCTCATGTGGTGTATTTGGGGTGTAGGTGTGGGACAACAACCCGGAAGTGTTGACGGTTCCTCAAGCCGCTCCCACGAGCTACGCTCTCTTTGGCGGTGCCGCAGTGCTGGGTTTGGGTGCCGCTGCCATCACCATCAAGCGAGAATAATTATACACGTTTATCTCTCCCTGATTTGGCGTACCATGCTCCAAATACAAGTCGTTCATACCCCCAACGTGCTTGAGTGCAGTGTAATCGTGTGTTTCACTGAGCTCCTTTTCAATGTGGATAGCCACATGCAGACCACAGCGTACAGTGTCCATCAGCGAACTCAACCCCGCTGTCCGTTGATGCGTTATCTTCGCTGCCGTGAATGGGTGGACGACAACGGCGTCTCAGCAACTGTTATGCGCAGTGTTATTCCAGCGTCTCTGAATCCTCAGGCCTGCAGCAAGTTGTGTGAAGACATGGCATCCAAGGGTCTATACAACAAGACGCACTTCCGACATGCTTATGGGCCGGTAGCCGGAAATGTCATTTTCTTGGACGAAAAATCCCAATTTTTGCAAAATTTGATATTCAAACGTGACGAAATTGACAAAAGTTTGAAGCAACATTTTTTTAATATTTATGACACCAAGTCCGACCTCCATGCTGACACCGCCCCCCACTCCATTTTTGCGCGCTTTCCTGGATGTGCTGCGTGTGGGCTGTCAACTAGGTTATCAAGGAGCCATGTCTGCGTCTGCTTTGTCGGACGAGAAGTGGGTGGATGAGCTAGTCAGTGTGAACCGCGGCCGTTTCTGCAAGTTCAAAAAGACCTTCGACCCCCACCTTTGAAAAAGTCATTCTGCGCAAAATCCTAATCGCCAGACGAGCCTTCACCATGTCGTTGTTTCTGTAGGCAACAAGAACTCTGCGTTGGCGAGGTTTGAAAAAAAGGAAAATTCGATCGGTCACGAGCTGTCTCGACCAACGATGCCGATCGCCATTCGCGGGCATCGTCGGGCAAATGGCAGCTTCTAGAGGTCGCCGACGTACGCGCATGCAGGCCCACGGTGCTACTTCCATCGCACCCATGAGTACGTGGTCAATCGAGCCGCCTGGTGTCGCTTTGTGTGTGCCGTGACAACGCTGTACTTGACGTGAGTATAGTGGTCAAATAGCCTCTTTTGATTGGTGAATACAGTACAGGGCCGCCGGAATTCAGCCAATCCGAGAAGTTCAATGGCGCACTTCAATCTTCTTTCGGAAGCCCCATCCTCTGCAGGTTTTTTATCGGGCGGACCACGACGCAAATCGCAATCTCACCAACTCGCCATGCCCAAGTTCACGGTAAGCGTCGCTCGTCGCAACCGACACGCTCTCTCGATGGACCCTGGTTCACCACCATCCGTCTTCAGGCAACCCGCATCAACGAAGAAGTCGACATCCGACTCACGGAAGAGAACAAAGTGTTTGCCCCGACCACCCTCGTCCACGTCCTGACTGCGACGGCGGCCAAGTACGCGACGCAACAAGCATTGCACTACAAGAAGAATGGCGTGTGGTACGCCAATATCAAACCTCGGTCGTATGGGACTCACATGTCGGCGGCAAAGGCAAGCGTACACGTGGGCAGAGTACCACAAGTTCAACCTTCGCTTCGCCAAAGCGTTGCGCCACGTTGGCTTTGAGCAATTCGACACGGTGTCGATCTCGGGCTTCAATGCCCCTCCATGGTTCTTTGCGTATATGGGAGGGTTGTATCTGGGAGGTGCCGCCACGGGCATTTACACGACCAACAACGCAGCGACATGCCAATACGTGCTATCCAACTCGAACGCCAAGGTGCTTGTGTGTGACGACGATGCGCAATTGAAGAAATTCATCTCCATTGCGGACCAACTCCCAAACCTCAAGGCCATCGTTGCATGTACGGATTGTATCGAGATTCCCACCACCATTGTCGCGGAATCTCATTCGCGTCGTTGAGTCCAGGGAAGGCTGATCTAGAGGCGTCCGGCGCCGCCTCGTCGGCCGTGCCTGTGTACTCATTCGAGTCGTTCTTGGAGCTCGGTCAAGACGTGCCGGACGAGGCGATTACCGATAACTTTGACAAGATCCACCCTGGTCATTGCGCATCGCTCATATACACGTCGGGTACGCCATGCACAGCGTCCTGTCGTCGCTATCGCGAACCGCTTGGTTCGCGTCGTGCGATTGCTCATGGCACCTCCTGTAGGCACGACGGGCAACCCGAAGGGCGTGATGCTCTCCCACGATAACTGCACGTTTACGACGGCAGCCGTGAACTCTGCGTTTCCTGGTGGCGCGGGCTATTTTAACAGTACCGAGCGCCTCGTGAGCTTTCTCCCGCTTTCGCACATCGCCGGACAACTGCTCGACATTGGGCAGCAAGCGTACTACGGTGTGTGGCCATCGTAAACGGTGGCAGCAACGGCGTGCTTGGGGTTGACGCTGTCGCTTGTGCAGGTTTTCACATCTACTTTGCCGAACCGGATGCGTTGAAGGGCTCGTTGGGCATGACCCTCAAGGAAGTCCGTCCGACGTACCTCTTGTCGGTGCCGCGCGTGTGGGAAAAGATTTTTGAAAAGATGTCGGACGTCGGGCGGTCGACGACGGGCCTCAAGAAGGCGATCGCGACGTGGGCCAAGTCGGTCGGAGCGGAAAAGTCCCGCCTGAACGAGTACGGCAACGGCGGCGGCGTCCCATGCGGGTTCTTCCTCGCGAACGCGCTCGTGTTGTCCAAAGTTAAGCACGCTCTCGGGTACTGTGCTCTGCTTGCCATGGGCTCACTGCAACGTTGCCCAGATTGGACCAGTGCAAGGCGTTTTACTCTGGCGCGGCGCCGTTGACGCCCGAAGTCGTCGCGTACTTTGCATCGCTCGACATGCCGCTCTTTGAAGCGATGGGGCTTAGTGAAACCACGGGCATTGCCTTTTACAACTACGCGGATCGCTGGAAGCCCAACTCGATCGGACCTGCCGTCGTCACCACCGACGCGCGCGTGAACCCCGACACGAACGAGCTGCAGGTGAGCCACCCGCCCAATTTGATCACCTGTATCGATGACCATCGACGGTTGTCGGCGAAGTTTGTCCTGTTGCGTGATTGAATGCCGTGGCTCCGGCAATTTCTTGGCTACGGAGACAAATTGCTCGTGCGTTGCTGTGTTGAACTTGCTCCGTCGCGGACACGGTGCTTTGGTCGAGTGTGGCGCTCACGGGGGTCGCGTAGGTCCGCGGCCGCCACGTCATGATGGGGTACTTGAACAACGACGAACAGACGAACGCCGCGATCGACGCGGACGGGTGGCTCTCGACCGGCGACTGCGCCCGCTTCGACGACGATGGGTTCGGATACATCACGGGTCGCATCAAGGAATTGATCATCACGGCCGGTGGCGAGAACGTCCCGCCAGTGCTGCTCGAGAGCGCCATCAAGGAGGAACTGCCCGTCGTTGGGCATGCCATGGCCATTGGCGACAAACGCAAGTTCCTCACGGCGCTCTTGACCCTCCATGTCGTCATGGACGACCAGGGGGCCCCCACGTCGACCTTGGACGGCTCAGTCGTGCGCATTTTGTCGCAGCTCGGATCGACCGCGACAACGACTGCCGAAGCGTACGAGGACCCGGTTGTCCTCAAGTACATCGATGAAGGGTTGAAGCGCGCCAACAACAAGGCCGCGTCGCGCGCCCAGTGGATCCAAAAGTACAAGTTCGTGCCCGACTTCAGCGTCTGCAACGGCGAGCTCACCCCCACCCTCAAGATCAAGCGCGCGGTCGTGGCCAAGCAATACGCCGACCTGATTGATGCGCTCTATGTCTAAGACGTCCACGAGAGAACAACAATGCGACTGTTCGTGCATGTAGTGTTTGAGTTGAAGAGCTTTTTTGACAACCAACCATGCACATCGCTGGCAACAGCTAGGTAGCTGATGCCGTTGGCTCCCCCTGTTCTGCCACGAGCGTCGCCACACTCAACCAAAGCACCTAGACTTTTACGGGAATTCCGCCGCGAATCGCAGTGGGACCAAGCGGTCGCACGTCGGTCTAACAGCTAGCAGGAGACGACTACTTCTCGGCTGAAGCTTCCCAGGGACACCACCGAATTTGCCGCTTCCCTTCAGCATGGGCACATGCTGTGCTCCCATGGAGACTAGCGAAATGGATGCAACTTGTTTTAAATATCGTTTTAAACAACCTTGGAATAGAATGCATTCGAATTTCATGAGCCATGATGCAATTTTGCAATACTGCATGATTCGATTTGCAAGCGCATACGTTTGGAGCCTTTTTTAAATACATTTAAAATTGACATACCTGTTCAACACTATTTGGAGTAACTTCACAGCACAGGCTGCATTCCGTGGGAGTTTCGGTGCGCTTGCGACGACAACGATGGAAGCCGAGATGAATCCGACGGTGCTGGCCGCCATGAAGGCGCAGAAGGAATGGGCGAAAGCAGTGGCATTCAACCAGGAGGGAAAGATTATTGCAGCTACGGCAAAGCCCCTGGACGGTGAAATTGCGTACGCACCATTCACACCTTTCTTCTCCTTAACAAACCTGCTCATTCCCTCGCTTGATGGCTGCACAGGGGGTTCTTGAAGCTGTTTGACAGCCGCGACGATACGATGGGCACGGGAATTGTGTACCTGAATGAGCAATACGATGTCCATCGATTCCACCCACCGCTCATCTATGGCCGCCGAGGAGACCCGGCCAAAGGCGAAGGCGAAGGTATCGCGATTTGCAAAGTCGAAAAAGCGTCGATCTACGTCCTCATTACATACTTCTTGCCCACGCTGTCGTCCCGCGCTGTACCACAGCTGCAAGATTTCTGTGCCCAGCATTGTAAGTAGTTACATGTACGCTGATGCATGTTCATGACGTTCCTTGGGCTCGTAGTCGAGGCACCAGCCCAACAATAATCTCGAAGCGCGCGAGCGAAGTGAGGGTATTGTCGCGGCGGAAAATACAAGGGTGCGATGATCTTGCACGAGCATGTACTTCGACAAGTAGGAAGAACCTGTCATCATTTGGAGAATAGAACGGCATTGATCGTCGGTGGGAAATGCCGTGATGGTTTTCGCTCGAACATATCAGCCACCCAGGTTTCATGCATGGACGAAGGCGAGACGTCGTGGGCATGGCAAGTCGACAGGTGGTTCCATCGAATTGCATTGTACATTAAGCGGACGCGGCAGCTTCCTTCTGTTGCTTGAACTCTTTCCACTCTTTGTTAAATGCGCGCGCCTTGTCCATGTTGACTTTGCGGCGGAATGCGTTTTCCTTGGCAAAGCACTCGTTCAATGCAGCCTTCATGTCGTTGCAAGCGCCGACGAACTTGCCATACGGGTTCTCTGCATGGCATTCGCGCAAGGCATCAACGATCTACTCCACAGACACAGTATCAGCATCGTCCTTTCCATGTATCAAGGCGGCGCGCGTACCGCCTGACATTCCGGGTGCGGCTTGTCCAGTGACGAGTGCATCCTTCGCCTCCCGCTCGTGTTGTGATGGCGCGCGTCCCACAAAGTGCGATATTATCCGGATGCGGTTAAATCAGGCATCGTGCTGCAGGAAACTCGCCGACACTTGGGCGGCGTGAGGCCAGCCCTGGCCCCAGAGCAGCTCTAGTCCAAAGGGCCTCTGTCGCACCAAGCTTGGTCTAGCCACCCACTTCGCCATGAACAGTTTAAGCTTCGTGTTAGTGCGGGGGCCGCGCTGGAGATTACCCTGTTGTTTGCCGCTCACCAGCTATGACAGTGAGTCTGTCATAGCAGCTGAGCGAACAAACTGACACCAAGCCTGCCGATTCTTCGATCGACGCTTCCCGACCGTCCCCATCGACTACCAGCCGTGGACAACTCGATCTTTACGACCCCCTCACGTTCGTCTGCTGAGGTGAAAGCGACACCCCCCAGTTTCTACTGCAGTACCTCTAACCACGTCACCAATTGTAACCAACGCCCGCCCCACCACGTCCAGCGGCAGCCCCAACTCCGCCTCCAGCCAACTATCCCATCTACTCCACGGCCAACCCCCAGTACACCATCGCCTTCGCAGCCCACGCCACGTTGTCTCAATCGCGACTGCCACCTTCAAGTCACCTCCCCATCCTGCGAACGTGAACGCGCGTCCGCTTTACCCCCCCCCCCGCTGGACGGTGTGCGTAGTGATTCCAACCACGTTGCCATCGACTGCAACTCGTTCCATGACTCGACCTTGGGCGACGTCATGACAACAGTTTGGACGTCTGTGTTGGACATCACAAGAGAATTCCGATCCGGCGCAGTGGACAACAATCTTCATGCTCCCGACGATGGGACAACAACCACGTATTTGATGTCGTCGTTCGAGTCGTGAAACTCGACGTGGCCGCACATCGAGGACGGCGTCGGTCGATTTGCCACACGCCGTTGTCCTCAACGTGGTCCTTGTCCTGAACAACGTTCTCATGTTGCTGACGTGTAACCCAAACACAAGGGCCGTCGCCGTCAGTTCATCCATTCTGCCGTGCAGGGAGCCAACCTTGCCATGATCCGCACGATATGTCGACTCACGAAGTTGGACGTCACCGAAGGTGAGGATCGTATTCCGGCACACGCATTCAACGGCCCGTTAAACACCTTCCTCCCGATCTCGGCAAACGTCCGTCTGCAACCAATGCCCTTGACTACCACACAGCACAGTGTGGAACCTTCACGGGTGTTGGCAGCGAGGGCCACGTTGAACGAATTTGTGGGGTGAAATCACAGACGAGCATGTGTGCACAGCCATCACGGGTGGCAGTGAAAGGCGCCACAGTGACCAACCGACCGACCCGCTCGCGCGCTTCGCCGGAATAGGCTTGTCAAAGTGCCATGTCTCGACCCATTCCATCATACGATTGTCGACGCATATTGTCGCATGATGAGAGGCGAGCCGACAAAAACAAATCTTGGACACGAGCCGCTTGGATTTGCACGTCGGTGGGGTTCTCTTTCACCGAATGGCATGACAGTCCGAACAACACTCGAGTCGGCGGAAAAGAAGTCGTCGACACCCCCCCCCTTGTTCACTCTAAGTTGGCGCCGGTGCACTGACCGCACCATTTCAACGTTGCTGTCCTGCCTATAGAAAACGCATTCGGGCCGACGAAGACGAGCACACCATCATCCCGCAAGTGTCAAAAGCCCAAACTCGTGTTACAAGACAAGATGCCAGAGTTGATGGTTGCGCGCGACATTGACAGAGTGTGGACGAGACCAATCGTAACAAGTCCGTTGTGCACGTTGGGTGCTGTGGTGAGCAATAGCTCGCGAGCTGTGCTAGATGCTGGGATGGTTGATCGAGGAGGTCTCGAATGCGTCAGGTTTCATGTTGTGCATGTTTTCTGTTGTCTTACGTATCGGCCACGGGATTTCTCAAGTTGAAGTCGCAAAAGTGTAGTATTACTACTAGTATTCCTAAGTCGACAACGTAGGAACACTAGTAGTAATACTACACCTAACATGGCAAGGTGGATTGGTGCGATGGACACGCTGGGGGGCGTTTGGATTGGCTGGATTCGAGCCAATCAGCATGGTCCATATCCAAAAGGACGGCGGCCATGGCACGAGTTGACAATTGATGGCGAACCTCAAGCTCCCGTGCTGCGGGCTGTTTGGAGGCCTCCTTGGCTACCTCTTCCAAAGCAACCCGGCACCGGAGAATGCGCCGTCGTCACCGCATTACCGCCCTCCGCTCATGACCAACTGGCATGCGTATACGTCGCCACTGGTCCAACCCGAAATCATCGACATGCGTGGTGGTGGCCACTTGGACTTGCACGTTGGCGAAGTCTTGCACGCGTGGGGAGGCGGCGCGCCGTCTGGAACAGTCTATGGCTTTGGGAAAGATGGCTCCCCCCCGACATTCCCAGGTCCAACCATCCTCACCGCTCGCAACGTCCCGATCTCCGTCACATGGACCAATCGCCTGGGCACCGCCCCACACCTTCTCCATCGCAACACAGAGCCGTCCTTCCTCGTCGAAGCATCCGCATGCTATCCCAACTGCGGAGTTCCCACGTCCATTCACGTACACGGGTTAGAGAACCCTCCCAAGTATGACGGACTGCCCACGCACACCTTTTACCACAACACAAGTTTCCGAGCCGAGTATGCGAATCGACAGAGTCCATCAACCAAAGTATACCACGACCATGCGTGGGGCTTGTCTCCTTTGAATATGTGGGCCGGCATGGTTGGCTTGTATGTCATTCATGATGCGACGTTGGAGTCGAAATTCAACTTGGCCGACCTGCCCGACATGGCGCTGATCCTTCAGGACAAACTAATCAGTGCTGCCGGCGCCTTGATGTACACGGAGAAGCTCGACTGCATGCCTGTGATACCGACCAAGTGGGTGCCGGAAGCTTACGGCAGTGTCAACACGGTGAATGGGGTCGTGATGCCCGTCGCAACAGTGGAAGCGCGCCAGGTGCGTTTCCGATGGGCCAACGTGGCCAACGCCCGCGCGTACGCGTTGGATTTGCCATTTGCATCGCTTTGCACAATCATTGCCACGGATAGCGGGTTTGTACAGCAGTCGAGGGCAGTGCCTGCCACGGGCTGGACGCTGTTTCCTCTCGAGCGCGTCGAAATGGTGTGCGACTTTACATCCGTGGCACCTGGTACGACGTTCGACATCGAAGACACGCCGTCCCAAGAAAGCGCGTACGTATACGACAAGCGTGTGATGCGATTCCAGATCGTTCCGTCGAAAGCCGCGACCCGAGTCGTCGTCCCACGCGACCTCGTGCCGATGAAAGATCTGCGCGCGCTGCATCGTGACACGCGCGGGTTGACGCGGCGAATCACGCTCGGGGAGCTCATGGACGGACGTGGGTGTTCGACGCACTTGTTTTTGAAGGAGCACGGCGTGGTGAAGGACACATCCACGATCAAGAGCACCCTGCACTGCACGCTTGGCAAGGTCGAGAAGTGGGAATTTGTCAACCCGACCGCGGACCCACATCCATTCCACTGGCACCTCGTCAATGCCATGTGCGGGGACAACGACGCCACGATCGACACGAACGAGCTCAAGGACGTCGTGGCGATTCCGTCGCGGCCGGACGGCGGCGTCGCGTACGTCTGCTATGTGGCATGCACGCCCGACGAGTTTCTCGTGGAGCACAGCACGCGACCGGCCGTCGGATTTGGTTTCAACGTCACGGACGATCCGTACTTGGCGCACTGCCACATCATGGAGCATGGCGAAAATCAAATGATGGCGTGGTTTCAGCTGACCACCACCGACATCGCCAATTGAATGCAAATCCAGTTGTGGATGCACGGGTCGAGAGTGGCGGGGAAAGGCCGGGCGGGCCAACACGTTGATGTGCGTGCCAGACGACCGAATGACGCACGGCGGCACCACTCGACGGAACAGGCGATTCTTGTCACCGTGGAGTGGAGAGAGAGCGACGACAGAATCGTATTTATCTGGGAGGAACGGGTACAGCGAACGCCTCCACATGCTCGAGATCCATCGGGTGGCTGGCATCGCTTGGATCGGACGGACGATTCTCTTGGGGTTTGCCTGCCATCGGCATGCTGAGCACGGACGTAGTAGTACTTGTGGAAGGGTCGCGCGGCTTGTGGGGCGATTTGACGGAGCGAGCGATCCAACATGAATCGAAAGTGTTGACAAACCGGTGCGGGAGTTCAAGACGTTTGCCACGGCGGGCGACGTTTTTGTTCCTCCGCCAGCACCTGCCGACCGAGCGGATGGACAGCCTGGTGCAGCACCGAGTCATCCTTCCATCGTCGTTGTTGCAGAGTGCCTGGATGCAGCGTGACTGGTGCGATGGATCGAGTTGAAGGTCTGGCGCATCTTGAGACGGAAGAGTCGACCGGCATGCAGCGCCGGCATGTTGACAAAGGCGCCGTCCACTTGGTCTTGGCAATTCTCGTCACGCATGGATGCACTAGTGTCGCTCCATTCCATCGCTACACTCGCCATGCTTGCTCGATCGACGGACCCATGCACGACGTCTTGCCGAGTTGAACAACGTGGGCAGCATCCAAGAGGACGAGGAGGGGGCGGGATCGACACTGGCAATTGCGTCCCATGGCGCGTTCGTTTAGCAGCAGGGCGTGTGGGAAGCTGACTCGACCGGCCCTGCAAGGGCGAATGAAGTTGGCGTATCGATGGCACCATGATGACGAGTTGCGCGGTGGCGAGGAGTGGCCAGGAACGAGGTGAATTTGGCTGGGGGACCTTTGGTGTGTGACGACGGAGATGCTTGAAGTCCCAGTTCCGGTCGCCATGCAGCTCGATGGCAGGGAGCTGGACCACCTGTCCCTGGCTGTGTAGGCGCAGCACGGCCATCATCTGCAATTGATGGGCCTTTCTACACCGGCGCCGACAAGTTGCATGGCGTCATGCAAACCCAGTCGCCAACCATCGTGCCTTACGCATGATCGAATAACATGGCTGGGACTATGGAATTTCAACAAGATCCAGTTGGCTCGAGGGCCTCCAATTTCGACGAGCGAAGTCTGCAATGCACAAGCTGCATCCCCTGCGGCCAAGCGCGCCATTTGCATCTCGTGGACCAGCGCCAAGGGCGTTTCATTCAAGCCGTGCTTGCTCGTCGGGCAGTGCCGTTGTGCCCGCCACCACGATCGCAACCAGCCACCTTCCTTTATCGACATCGTGTGACCATGTCGCGGACCCATCTCAGCCTTCCCGCTGCGCCAACCATGCTGCACAACGGACGGAGTTCGCCGCACCCGCGTGTCCGTTGTGACAGCGCATGCGCCTGGTGATCCTGGACGATGGCACGAGCCACGTGCGTCACCCCCCACGCTGCGCACCGTCGCGGGAGCGTCGACCCATCAGTTAAACCCCGTTGTCCCGACAGACAGCCGCCCCCCCCCCCCCGCCGGTTCACATGCAACCCACGTCCTCTAGTGCTGGGTTGGCGCAGACGCATGGCGTCGCTCGCGTGTGGCGATGCCATGAACCTAGCAAACGAAAAGAGTCATTTCCCGGGGCAGTGTGCTGTCTGTCCCCAGCGCATGCTTGGTTTGACACGGATGCGCACTCCCATGGCAGGTGGAGACCGGCTACAACACGTCGAGTCCTGTCCAGCTTCGATGAACCGTTTCGATCCTTCTGCATGCCGTGCTTCGAATCTCTCTCTCTCTCTCTGCACAGCTCAACGACGTTTCCTCTCACACGAGCCATCGCCTTTGCCGTCGGATGTCCCATGGGACGCGTCATCGTCCTCTGCCACCGACCCATTGTCCTTGGACCCAATCCACTTCCGTGGCCAGCGCCACCCACTGAACCGCGCGTCCGGGCGCCGCGCACATGGTGGCATGCAAGCGAATCACGGACGTATTCCACGACGACACGTGCACCGCCAGATGCAGCGCAAGTGGGACGCCACCGCGTTCTCCGACCTAGCTTCGGACACCCGCCGACGAGCCATTTCGTCACGCCGCCTTTCGCAACGACCGCCGCCCTCCTGCGCCGAGTCTCTCGCAGCACCAACAAGCAATCGACGAGCAGGACGGAGCGAAGTCACACCACACGCCGCCACGTCGCCGCATGGCCATTCTGGTCGTGGGTTGGTCAATTCTGGACTAAAACGCAATGACGTTAAATTCGGGCAAACTCGCCCACGTCATGTCTCGGCGGCGGCGCGTCCGGACGTCGGCACCGCCATGGCTGCGGTCAAGTGGCATCGTGGCGGAGGCTGCATCGGCCACGGGGGCGTCGGCGAAGGGGGCGGAGGACATCTTGGCCAAAGTGCGGAGGCCCGCGACCATCGCACATGGGCCTGGCGCTGGGCGGTGTGTAATCACATGACCATGTGGTCTCGGCAGCGCTGCCGTCGTTACCTACGACGACACAGTCGACCAGCGCATTTTGCAATTTTCTCGTCTCCAAGACACGATCATGGTGGAAGCGTCGACGTGGCTAGATCCAGGATTCCCAACGACAAACGATCCGTGGGATGCCTTTCACTTGGAGCCTGCGTCGCTTCTCGACAAGGATTGCTTTGCGATCGACCTGGACCTGAGCGAAGTTTTGCTGTTTGATCCGATCCCGTACGAGACGTCGTCGCCCAAACTCGAGCCCGTCGACGAGCGTTTGGCGCCGCCGGTACAGCCACTGGCAGTCCCTGCCGACGCCATCGCCCAGGTTTTGCCGCAAGAAATTCCCGGCCAGTGCCTCAAGCATCTGTGCCAGAACGCGATCGGGTACCGCGGGTTTTGCAAAGATCACGGCGGTGCGCGCAAGTGTCGCATCGTCGGGTGCCCCAAAGGCAGCCAAGGCCGCAACCTGTGCATTGCCCACGGCGGCGGGAAGCGATGCAAAGTCGAAAACTGCCCCAAGTCGGCGCAGTCGCATGGGCTGTGCAAAGGCCATGGCGGTGGTGCCCGTTGTACGTTTGCGAATTGCAACAAAAGCTCGCAAGGCGGTGGGTTCTGCCGTAAACACGGTGGCGGGAAGCGTTGTGATGTGGCCAAGTGCAAGAACAGCGCGCAACGTGGCAACTTTTGTGCCAAGCATGGCGGATCCAAGGCGTGCCAAGCCGAGAACTGCGCCCGAACCGACCGGGGCGGCGGGTACTGCGAGCTCCATCGACACTACAAGATCCTTCGCTTGACCAAAAAGTTGCAGGACGAAATGACGTCGGTGTAAAGACCGACGCGCGATCTAATTTATCATCAAAGTGTGCCCTACCTCCACCCCTTCCATGCCTCGACCAGCATGCCGCACGACGATGGCGGCAATATCGAGCGCTCTGGAGACATAAACTGCACAGGACGTCCTCTCGCGTGGTGTGGCTTGGGCTTCATGGAAGGTACGTCGACACGGAAGCGCCGACCAACTTGCCGAAAATTGAAGAAGCGACGCGTGGGTGGCGAAACTTGAACTAGGTCCGTAGTTGTACCCCGCATCGTCTTGGCCAGACGCGATGCCGAGGGGACGACGATATGTTCAAAGAGTGGTGTGGCGCGGGAGGAGGGGGAGCCATGGGCAGCCGAGATCCCCGGTCCCGTTGGTGCATCGGGGGCTGCAGCGCGATCACGATGCCACGGGCTGCATGGAACCTGCGTCAAAGTCGCTCCAGCTGGTCGCTGCGTACTTATTGCTGCGTCCGCGCTCCATATGCTCGACAACCGTAGCAACAGCAGACGCCGTGCGACCTCGAGTCGTTGAAGGGCGATGAAGGTGTACACACTTCTTCACCCATATGTACACACAACCACTTGAATCCTCTTGCCTGCCCGTCGTCGCCCCGCGAATGGGCTTTAGAAAACACACACGATGGAGTTGGATGTGCGGCGTGGGGAGAATGGGGCGATGACGAGGTGTATGCATGCCTCGTCGCTCGTTCCATCGGTCGAGTCTTGGCAAAGCGAGCGCTCCGTCGTGCCGCTGCGGCTGCCGTGCTCGCGAGTGTCAACAGTACGCATGGTCGCCAAGGCGACACCTGCAACAATTTGTGCTGGCCAGTCGAGGCGCCGGTCGTGGACTCGATCACGTACAACACACTCGTCGCGCTGCTGCCATGCACACCACGTATCTGCCATCGCAGCAGCGCCCGTGCGTTCGCAGCCAGAGCACATCCGACTCGCATGATGTAATGCAATTCGGGGGCTGATGCGTTCGCGTCCTTTGCGGCGCCACCACCGTGAAAAAGACCAACCGTTGCCGTGTGTCCATGGCGCAGCGGGGGATGTCGGCACTGGAATACACTGCCCAGCGACTCGAACTCTTTTCAAGTGCCACGCCGGCACGAAAAGCGCGACCCCGCCGCATACGAGCAACGACGCAACCAGAAGTACCGATCTCCCGAGGCACGGACAGCCCATTGCGGCCATCGATGACGTGTGTGCGCGCGCTACCGTCGGGAAGTCGTCCATCTCGCGCGGGGGGTGACACTTGGCTTAGCCGATGCCACCACTGCCAGCCGCGCGCTTCGATGCCTGGCCCCGCGACAAGTGCTTGTGGATGACTCCCCCTGGACCCCGCCCCACGAGTCCCCGCATGCCGCCGCCGACGTGCTTTACTCGACTGCGCTCCTCAAACTCCTCTTGCATTTTTGACGGATTTACGTTAAACCCAATGCGTTTTACGCGATACGTCGGACTTAATGGGGGGTGGGACGAGATCCGACGCTTCGACATGACGGACAACACATGGAACACCGACGGCGATGACGTCGCCCCGGCGCCGAGTCCCGTTGTCCGGCGAGAAAGGAGGAAGAAGCGCCGGACACTGCGTTTGAGACCGTTTGCTGGAAACCGGAAGCTCCACGAAGCGCCCGCTCGTTGGCCAGCCGCCAAGTACAAGACGGAAATCCTGGGGCTTGTCACGGCAACCGGGAGCCATGCATGGCGGGAAGTCTTCACCTCCGACTTCATCGACCTTGCCATTGTGTTCTCGATGTGGGCTGTCCTCGGTGGTGCCATTTACATGCTCAACATCCACGTGCCGCAAGCGTACCACGACGTACGTGCAATTCGTATTTTTGTGCACGTGCGAGCAACTCGGCGTGACCGCATGCTGTGCGTAGGCCATGTGGGCTGGCATTGGATTGTTTTCACTCCCCATGGGGCTGTACACTGGCATGCACGCGTACGAGCTGTACGTGTTGCGCCAGACGTCGCAAAAGGGGCTGCAAAAGGTTGTCGTCGAGTAGCTCTCGACCACGAGCAAAAACGCATCCAATGCACTCGTTGTGGAATCTATTCAAGTCAGCCGCCGCATCGAATGGATGGTGCTATGGCCATTGGGGCTTGTCGAGGGATATCAGCACGTCAGCAGGGCGAGGGTCCACCAACTTGAGCCGCTTGTTGTGGTTGAAGCCGTTGGGGCACTGGGTCTGCTTGCGCTGGACGAGCAGCGCGTTCCACAGCTTGAGGGTCGTGCACAGACCGTATGTGTTTTTGATCGTGTCGGCATTCTAGCCCGCGCCATCCATCATGAGCAGACGTGGGATGGATTCATGGCCTGTGGCATCTTCGTACCTCCGACTTGATGGCGTCCGTCCACAGGGACGCAGGGGGTTCTTGCAGGAGCCACATATCGCACGCAAACACGTTGTCCGGCATGAGTTTCGGGTCGGCGACCCACGACGCGATTTGGAATCGCTTGAACTGGCGGAGAAACGGAGCTGCGTTCGGTGGCACGACCAACTCGTCGTGGCACGGGTTCTCGAGCACGTATTCAATCGTGAACGAGTTGAGTTCCTTCTTGGCGAGGGCGAAATGCCAGTCTTCGCTCGCCTACACGCGGACAAAGTCAACTCTGATACACGTCGAGCGGGTGGCACGTACCGCTTGGGTCAGCGCCAAGTTGTCTAAGCGAACCGTCGACAAGCCTTGCTTGGCCGCTGCCACAGCGAACCCGATCAAGTCGGCGTGCAGCCGACTCGGCGGGGCATACGCTTGAAAGTACTTTTCCGCAAACGCGGCAGCATCGTCGATCGATTTCTTCAAGTCGGACGTAGACACCACGTACGGGAGACCGACGTTGTACTGGTCCGACGTGGCGGATGGCTGTGGGGATCGCAGTCACAAGAAAAATCCTTCGTGCCACGGCGATCAAATTGGACAGTACCTTGGGGCAGGTCGGGCACAGTGCTGCGACGCGGTCGGCGGTCGTGAGGCCCTCGAGGTACGAGTCGAAATTTTGGACAATGACCGTGCCCGATTTGGCTTCGATCGCGTTTGGCGCGGCGGCATGGCCAGAGTAGAAAAACACTGCCTTGGGCTGGCGGCTGCCGCGCACGACCTCCATTGCGTCCGGGTCCGGGTCTTCGTCGGGTTTCCTACCTCCCGGCGTCAAAACATTCCAACGCACGAGCCATCGTACGGGTAGGCCGTGACAACTGGCATCGACTTGGACATGACAAAGCGGCGGAGAAACAAAAAGTCCACCGCGAGCACGACCAGCGTCGACGGCAAATGCGGCGCGTTCGAGTGCTGGAGCCAATGGCGCAGCGCGTGCGTCGTTTGAAACGACGCCGTGTCGGGCGCAAAGTGCAATTTCATCTTGGGACTCGTCCGGCGATAAACCTGCGAAACCAACAACTCGGTCGGCAAACGCGGCACTGGCAGACCCGACCTGATTGAGCTCGTCGATCGTGGCACACCCTGTTACGATACGAGTCAACGACCCGCGCTGTTTCACGCGGTCGAACGATTCCACGAGCATGTCCGCTTGCCACTGGTCGGCATTGGAGCATGACGTGACAAAGACGAAGTCAAACGCTTGGTCGGCGTCTGCCTACGATGAATGAGGCGATCCATCGAATTCTTGGCGTTTGACACGCCCAGTGGGCGACAGAGCGCGGCGGTACCACGTCGTTCGTGCTGGCAGCCAGGCCGTGCAGCGGCAACTTGGATGGCACGGCGGACTTGATGTCTTCTCCAAGCAGTAGCCGCTGGTGGTCGTTGAACCCGTTGGCGCACGTGTGCTGCTTGATGTCGCGCGCGGCGCGGTTGTACGCTTGATACGTTAACGCTATCGACACGATGTGGCGCGTTCGGAGGATCGGCGACACCTGCTCCCACCCATACGTGTGCGATGCATAGTGCCTGCACGACCAAATGTCCGTGATACGTCACCAACACAAGCAGCACGACAAACGGCGTGTACCACAGAGAAGGGTCTGGAAGCTGGAGCATCACGGCATCGCACTGGAAAAAATCCAGCGGCACCCATCGGTCCCGCATCACGTATGGTGCGCCATCGACCCACTTGAGCAGCTGCAGCACCGACGTGCGCATCGTGAACGGGTATTCGGCATACAGCTACGACAGAGATCCTTGAATGTGACGCGCAATGGACCAACAAAAGCCGAGTCACGTCGTCATGCAAAACCCATGCAACTACAGATCCATCGCAACACCACTCGAATTCAGTCGACACGAACAACGCTGGGCTCCGTGCTGCTGCTTGTCCGTGACGGCGACTTACGGGGCTGGTTTCGTTCATCGTTTCTTGAATGGGATTGTACTTGATCACGTCGACGAAATTCCAGTTTTCCGCGAACGAGTTGTACCGACTGAGGCGGAAACTGCCGGCAACGCCATGCTCCAACTCGAGCTCTGCGCATGCCAACGGGTAAGCCAGGTGCTGGTACTTTTGCTCGAGCTTGTCGTAGATGCCTTTGGTCATGCCAAAGACTGGATCCATGTGCCGCGCATGCATGATGAACGGGGCGTGAACTGCGTTTCCGCGCCAGTTGTCGGTGTTGACCGACTTGGACGACTTGCCCATCGTGGCTTCGAGAATCTCGACTGGCATGATATACGTTGGGTAGTCGCTGTCGAACCACGCAGCGTCCTAGATAGATCGGTCAGCGACAAGAGATGAACGGATGAAAACAAGGTGAGGCGAGCACCTGCCCCAACAACGTCGGATTCGTCATCGTGTCGGCGACATGCAGCATCGCGGCCAGGTCCAACGTGCGAGTGAAGATCGTGTCGATCTCAACGATCATGACAAACTCGTCGGCGGGAAGCGCCTTCGCCTCAGGAGACTTTGTCCTGCTAGGTCGTGAGAAATGCAACAGATATAAATTGAGATTGTACCATGCGTGAAGGGCATGCGGGTTCAATTCCGTCTCGCCTGACCCCTGGATATTCGCCGCATGAAAGAATGCGACGTTGTAATGAGGAGGCATGGCTTTTTGCAGAGTTAGGAACGCCATCTTGTCGCAGTTGTACGCAATGTACGTCAAGTACCCAGTGAATCGTTGTTCGCGAGCGGTGAACGCCAAGACTTGCGAGCGCATGCGGTCGCGTTCGGAGCACGTTGCTGTGAACACAACGTGCTTGACGATGCGATTGCTCGCCGACGATCCATGACGTCCCTCCGCTCGTACGTGGGCGGCCGAGAGCCCCGACGATGTGGCGTTATTTCGCATGTAGAAACTGACGTTGACAAACGCTGCGAACCCAAACAGGAGCGCCACGCCTCCGAGGAGGTACCATCGCTGCACCGCCGCCTTGGACATTGGCTTCCGTGGAGAAGATGACATGGCGACTGTCGATTTGCACAATGCGAGGTGTGGTGGTGTATCCAAACGTCTCATTGGCCAATTTTAAACAAAAATAAGCCAATGAAAATTGTTGGTGTTGTATGATTGGCTAATGTCACCTTCATTCAGCCAATCAACTGCATCCACTTCTTGCCTTCACAAAGAACATGCCATCAGGCCAGGATATCGCGACATGAAGGAGCGCGTGCAAAAGCAGGGAGTGCCGAGCACAGCGATGCAGAGAATGGCACTCTGGAGCTCTTCGTTGCGCATGCTTGGATCGGATCCATGTGTCGGTAAGTAAAACATCCTCGCCAAGTATATAGCTTTGCAAGGCTGGCAAAACAATGGCGCGCCAGGCTCCATCACACCCACACATGGAAACCCAATTCCGTGTGTGAATAGCATGGATTTGACCTAGTGGGGGGGCAGGGGCAATGCCTCGTTCGACTCGATGCAGAAATGAATGGATAAACTTTCATGGCAATGGGGCAGGTGAGTGTGTAAAGCAACTTGCGTAGGTTCGCTTCGGGCACCAACGATGACTACGTTCTTCAAACGCACTGGTGCCATCATCTCTTCCAACGTGTCGGACGGTGCTCGCACTGTG